AAGGGGACAGGTGTTGACGATGTTCATCAACGAGCATGTAGTTATTTTACATCGGCTCTCCTACTAACAGCCAAATCCTGCTCGCTTTGTTCAAGTGAGTTGTCCAGTTAATGTCACCCGACGTCAGTGGGCGTCTTCGCCTAAGGAAGATGAGCTTTGAATTTAAGAGAGCTTGTCAGTAGCTGTACTTTTTACTGAATGATTTTTTAAGCATCAGGTAATTAGAGCATAATCCAGTTACCAGCTCTGGTTTCCTTTGGCAAGTCACATCGCCACTGTCTACCTCAGTTTCCCCATCTTTAGAAGCTCACTGGATTTCAGAAACTGGGCTCCAGCACAAACAGGAATTCCTACACTACTATTTTTAGCCCAAGCCAACTAACCCCAGGTTCTGAGACTCACAGCTGTCAGGTGTTTTTTGCTGTACAGGCATACTCTTAGTTCACAGCAAGGGATGTGTGTAAATCCTACCCATGATACCCGGCTGTGCACATATTGTCCCTGTGCACTCTGCTGCTGTGCTTTAATGTTTCCTAATGCATTCGGAGTGGCTCCACTTTGAAATGGGACTAGATCAAAGCTCCCTCCAGACTTTCTGGTACCCAACAGATGGGTTCACATGGGCACTTAAGCCAAGTCTACACTACATGAGAAATTCAGCGTAAGACACGCAACTCCAGCTACAAGAATTGAGTAGCTGGAATCGATGTACCCTTAAATCAACTTTCTGTGGTGTCTGCACTGTGGGAGATTGACGGGAGAAACTCTTTTGTCCACTTCCCTTACTCCTCACAGCCTTGTGGAGTATCGGGGTCAACAGGGATGCCATCAGTGGTCAATTTAGCAGATCGTTACTAGACCCACTAAATCAAAGCCCAGAAGATTGATCTCCAGAGCATCAATCTCCCCGTAAATATAGAGAAGGTCTAAATGCACCGCAGGCTAGCATGAGGTCAGGTTACACCCCAGCTTGCCACAAACGAAGTGCTGGTCTAAACTAGCCCTACTAAATGTAAAGTGAATTTACAGGGGTGTTAAAGCTTTCACAACAAATACAATGTGACATGGCTATAAAGATTCAATGTTGCACCATTCAGGTATCCTAAATGTAGCTTGTCAAAGACAGTAAACAAATAGCATTTGAGTCTCTCAGCTAAGGGCAAAAAGTGAAACCTGTCTTAAGAACTAGGAATGAGGCCAGCAAAAGAAGTGGGACCAAACTGGTCCCCGCTAGAACTCTGTGGATCGCGGCAGATAAATGTGACCCTTGATCTTTGAAGATCAAACAAGCTAGAAATCTTGGGGACACTGTAAATTTATTTCCTAAGGCAAGAAGTTGTCTATTAGAAATAACCCTTCGTGTACTACTCAATATATTTTGAATTATTTAAAAAAAAAACAGGATTAAAAGCCAGCTTGCAGTATATTCACAGGTCTTACTAAGCTTTGTGAAGTTCCTTTTTTCAACCTGCCTACACTGTTGATAGTGAAAGAATGTTTCTTGAGAATGTGCAGAAGAATAAATGTGTGTTTGTAGTTCTGTCCCATTTTCGCAAACCTTGTGGGGAGGTCCTCTTGGCCTGATGTTGATCTGGTGACACTCTAAGTAATGCTTCACTGACTTGACTAATCTTTCTGGTGAGTTTTCAATATTCTTCAGTAATGTCTAGCAAGGAACACAGCCTCCTCCCAACTGGCACCAAAACTCCGTAGAAGAGTTCTAAAAAGCCAGAAAGGGTAAAGAGAAATAAAGCTGAGGCTATTAAGGTTGATTTTCTTCCTAATTGGCCTAGTCCAGTGTGCTGTTTCGAGAACCATAACTGCACCTTAATTATGATTGACGTCTCTTTGAGTGGATTGGGGCTTCACTCTGTAGAAACCCTAATTGGCTTTCTGTGTGTTTTAGTTTTCATTCACCTTCTGCTTAATAGCAAAGCACAAGGATTGCATTGATGACAATGGGCCAATACAAATATGAAGCGGGATATGCAATGCAGTTGATTTATTTTCAGGTTTGGGGGTTGGTTTTCATTTTGGTAGATGCACATAGAATATATCCCTCTAATGGTGCCCAGGATATTGCTACAGTGAAATATAACAACCTCTGGGCCAGATTCTCATCAGGTGTAAATCAGTCTAGCTCCATTGATGACAATGGATTTTCCCTTTTTTAACTGAATTG